TTCTTTATTTGTTCTTTTCAAACTTGTCAAGCAATCAGTGTCAATAGTCGACTAATCCAGGCTATAGTCGGCTATTCTTAGGTTTCTCTGTTTTGGGGTATCTTCTAAATTGATCTTGCATTCTCTGTTATTTTATCTAGTTCATCATGTTTAGATCTAAGAGCTACGCAACTCACAGTTCTCGTCAATGATGAAATCATTGTTTATTAAGAGTCCTGATTATTGGAGGAATTTAACAGATTTCACTTTTAGAATTCTTACAGGACGATTGTGAAGTTCGATGATTTTCATCATGGAACTTTAGTTCTTATTATTGAAATGTGGGCTTGCTTTGGTTATTTTCTGCTGAAAAATAAGAAACCATCATTACCCATTTTTATGCAACTTTTCTATACAATATAAGCGTGTTGGTAAATTGGTGGTTCTGAAAAAATTAAAACCCTTGTTAAAGGAATGGAGATTGAATTAACTACTCAAAACATTGGTAAAATATTCAATATTCCTTATCAAGGGAGTTCTCTTAGCTCTGTTAGATGGAATGATTCGTTACTTGCTTCATCACATATTTCTCCAGGACATGGACAAATTTGAACAATTCAAACACTTCGTCCATTCTAGGTTCTTGCTCTATCCTAGCCTATAACTTATTTCCAAAACTGGAAGTTTTATTTCTTTCCCTAATTAGCAAAAAGCTATATATGCTATTATGGGCAAATTTCAATGTTGAATTGGGCTGAGGTTTTTTTGTTAATTTTCTGACCTTCCTAGAGGATTTCTTCCTTATGGTGCATTTCCTGACTAAGTTTATTGATAAATTCCATGTTGATCTCAAATCTGAAAAAATCTAGTTGTCGTTCAATTGATTTTTGATTCAAATGCGCCTAACTAGGATGAATGACAAATTTAAATCCAAGATCACAATCCTCAAATTGAACCTCGTTCAAATGAACCTTGAACTTCAACAAGAAGATATTGCACAACCTCAACTCAAGCTGGGGCTCTTCAAGGTCACCACCACCATTTCCTACTGAACTTCAATGTTTTCAGACGTGCATACATACTTTTGAGTGCACGTATTCCTAGAACTGGAACTGTTGCAACGAGCTATATATGCCAGAACAGATATATCATTCAGCAATCAAGAAGACTAATCAAAAAGTTTGAAGACTTGGATCAAGCTTAATTCTATTTTCAGGGCCAACAACCTCCTCCAGCACCTTAGATTTGTTTCTGTTTTTTGCGTCAAAACAATTATGTTCTTATGTTTAAACTATGTGGTTATGTTGCTTTTATGTAAG